CATGCTAAAGCGAAAATATACATACAGACGAAATTTTTCTAAATTATAAAGACGTAAACATACCTATTTACCATATAGCTCCAAATTTAAATGGAAATTGAAACTTTTTCTTTCAAAAAATGTATTAAGAATTAGGCTCAGTCAATAACTTTTTGAAAATTGGGCAATGTGACACCCCCTTAAAAAAGTCATAAATAACCCAAACTCAGTTAACTCACATAAACAATTAAACTTTAAGAAAAGCAATCCACGTGACTGTTATTTTTAAAAGCTGAATTACCTACAGAGAAAAATTTTAAGAAAATTACATTTTCGTAACAAAAGTGGTCGAAAATTACATTTCTACTTTCACTGCTCCATTCAACGTTCTTAGATACGGATTTTGCTTGCGTGATTTTTCATTATCATCGCGTAAATTATAGCTACATTGAAGTTATTGGCGACAGTCCTCGTCCTCCGACAAATTTCAAATGCACCAGTCTATCCATTCGGCGACTCTTAAAGTGAAATCCGGACTCCAACTCACGACTCGACTAAAGAAACACCAACAACTAGTCCGTGGCCACGACCATTTGGCTATCGCAGCCACCTTAGACATGGAGCAATATCATCGTAGGAGCTACATTTTAATACAGTTTGAATTTCTGTTTTTTTAGCTCTAAGTGAGCACTTTTCCGGCTCCAGTGTAGTATAGGAAAGGAGGATGGAGGCCTTCGGATTTGGCGATTTTTCTTTGTATTTGGCGATTTTTATATAGATATGATGAGATAACGAATTTTTTCTGGCTTCCGGAAACTTATCGCTAAGTGAAGTGGCTTGGCGATCGATTTTGGTCGCCAAAAGAAATTGACATCGCCAAGGGGCCCGCCCCTTACTACACTTTAACCTATTTTCTCTAAAACTCAGGTATGTCCTTTACATTAAAATGATCTTAGATATGTGATATTGTCATTAGTAAAACACACGTACAAACGCACACAAATTAAAAATATAGAAACATGATGTAGCAATATGATTACAATGCATTTCATACTTTTCTATCAATTCGAGAAAAGTAGGTGAAACTGGTTAAATTATAGAAAATTATATATATATATAATCAGTGTCATATAAATATTGTGTGTAGAAGCGACCTATTTATACAAAGCACAAATTTAGAATCGACCCCATCCGGTATAGTGGTTAGCGACGCTGGCTGCTGTTCCGTAGGGCCTGGGTTCGAATCCAGGAGAAGGCATGGATGTTTGTAAATGTATAGTGCCTTCGCGGCAGGGGGGTACTCTAAATAGCCGTCGAGCCGCAAGTCCTCTCGTGAGGTTGGTGGAAGGGGAAGAGAGGTGGAAGACCCCTGGCCACTCCCTCAAAATTGGGGTGGAACCGAGCCAAATCATACTGTCTCCTGAATGGTGCTCAAAGCTACGGCTAACGACAGGCGTACAATCTAGCCCGATGCCCTGATGAATTTCGTGGGCCTCAATCTGACTACGTCAGACAGGTAGCATTAGTAACATCAACAAATTTAGAATCGAGCATAATTTTGTCATGTTGGTTTTAAGAAAAATTAATCATTTCAAAGATTTAATGCTTACATCTAAAATACGAGTATAAAACTTAAATTATACAAGAACATTTTTCATAGAAGTATCTCTCTTTAAAATAGAACCAAATGATAAAATATTTACATTTAACTCCTAATTAAAAGTCATGGATCAAGACAACGATAAGATGATGCTGCTTTAAAGTTCTTGAAGTAAGTACTAAAAGTTAAAAAGAGAGTCATTTTATACAGTTCTGAGATTTCTTTTTATGTTCGACATTTTAACTTTTAACTTTCTTCCGCTTAGAAAGACTTCTTTTCACTAAAAAACAAGAAGGGAAAAGTGGTTTATGGAGTTCTTAACATTTTAACATTCAGATTTTAATCTTTTTTTTTTCTAGAATTAAAAGCAGCTAGCACAAGTTCTTACTCTTCCTTTAAAGAGGCTAATTTGGGGTGAGTTTTAAAATACATTTTTCTGAGTGTTTCGTTAACAATAATGTGGTACATATTAGCTCTGCTTCAGCTTTGAAAAAAAATTCTACTTAGCGAATTTCTTTGGGAAAAAAGAAATCTCAGAGAATGGGCTTCAACAAATGTAAATGACAGGAATATAATAAAATGTACGGTTTCTTTGTATATCACATAATGAAAGCAATCTAATCATATAAGGGAAGGCTTTACTTTTTCAGTTTGCGTTTTCAATTTATTTCTGGTGTCAACTAAACGAATGGAAATTAAGAAGAAATTACAAATATTTTAAGAAAATAATACATCAGTTTTCCTAAGTTTAGTATACATTATACAAACGAAAAATGTTTTGGAAGTTTTTTTTTTTTATTCTTTACATATTGATCACATAATTGACGGGGGAAAAGTTTTGTTCGATTAATGTATCTGAAAATGGCTGCACTTGGATGTAACTTCTTACTATACAGCGTGGTCCCTAATTCATAGTACAAACTATAAGGGTATATACAGCACATTATAACAATCATTTATTGTACAGGAATATACGGGGCAAATGACGTGGTGTGGAGCAAACAAGGGAAAAGAAAGAAAACACTAGCGTTATTGGTTGTTTGTATTGCCGGTAGGTGGCAGTAGATGCCTAGCCACCGTTCAAAATGATGCATCTCAGTAGGGGAAAGCTCCCTTCGCAATTGTGCTGGCGGTCTACGACGGGAGACTTTACGTGTGCCGAAAATGCAGACATGCATTACATGTGCGGCCATGTAAATGCTAACGACAGAGTTGTGCAACGAATGGATCAAGTGCAGTTTCTTGATCGCCGAATGCCGAAACACAGAATTTTCAACTGCTAGTGGGTGGTACGGCGCTGCAGCTTTCCTTCATAGCTCAGGTGCTGAACAGTTATTGTAAACATTTCACTTGTCAACGACGCTTTCAATAAACATTTTGTCTTTCCTTTCGTCTCTTATTTTTTGTGTGTGCGCTTCACTGTGTCACTTCCACCCATACATTCCATAACAATAAATGATTGTTAGAATGTCCCTTAATGTTTGTACCATGAATTCGGTACCACCCTTTGTAGTTCGAAACATTCTAATTGGTTCCAGCTATTCCATACATTATATAAGATTGGTAAGAAACAACTCACATGCTCACCAAAACAATAAACATCTCGTTCGTTCTCCTATCCATCGACTCACTGGTGGGGGAGTACTTTAGCGGCATCTAAAATAAGTAATATCTAGTAACAGCCTCCGGACAGGAGGGATCACTCTTGTCTAGTGATATGTTACCTACCTACGAATCCATAGGTCCCGTGTTCTAATCTCCGATATTATCTATGCATTACAGTCTCGATGAAAAAGGTGTATTGAGACAAGTGGAACCTATTTTGGTTGAATAATCAGCTTTTGAAAAAAGGTATATACAGTTTTATATATTCACTTGTATATCCGACATTTTATACTCATCAATCAAATAATATACAAACATATTCAACTCCCGTAGCAAATTTTTAAATATAAAATGGTATAGACGCTTAATAAGGAATAAATATAGTTTTAATGAAAACGGTATATGCAATGAAATATTTTTCTTAATACAATTTTCAAAAAATCAAAAATAGAACTACGGTTTGTGTTACATTGTGAAGTAAACATAAAATCAAAAGACAACTCAGAAATTATCGAAATATAATCTCTGAAATACGTATTATACTGGGAAAAAGGCTCAAGAATCGGGAGATATAAAGTCAATGTATCACACAAGACAGCACAATGCGTCTTCGGATCGAATTTATATTTAAATATAGAACACTGTCTCCCAAATGTATAATAATTTAAATTTCAAATTGTGTCTGTAATGGCTTGGATGGGAATAGCTTTCCTCTAAGCCTATTCTTACTTGTCGCTGTTTTTCAATTATATATCAGCTTTCGTTGTCCCTCCTAATTTCGAACCGTTAAAAAGACTTACATAAGATAAATCACTAATTAACATGGATATTTTTAATTTAATTAAATGGCATATGTTTTATTCCTCACCTTGAGAAAGATGACATACATTATTTAGAAAAACCATTTATATTTTCTTCCGAAAGAGTAAACTTCAAATCGAAGTAAGCAAAATAAATTGACAAATTAAAAAGAATGTAAAGGATGTAACGATTAAAACTGAAGAATTGACGAAGATGAAAATTAACATAAATTGTTAAACTCCTCATTTTATTCAAAAGCAGGCACAAATGTTTCTGTTGGGAAGAGAGGGGGGGGAGAGGAGTAGGTATTTTGGAAAAATTGCTATTCCCAGAAACAATTTCTGAGGCCGATTACTTAGAATTCCATAATATCTTGAATTATAATTATGAGCGTACCTCACAAGATTATAGCCTTTCTGAATTGCCACTCCTTTCAAGTTAAATAACTCTGCTTCAAAGATTTATTTATTTATAAACGTTGCATATAGAAAGAACTCGAGGGCAATGCGTGTTGAACATCCTTATTCTCAATCATGATCTAGTGATGGAAACCAACTCAATAAACACCTTACTTTCCAAACTTCAAAGTGGACTTTGAACCTCAATAAATTTAGTGAGCATCAATTCCAACATACTGCGGGATTTCAATGCCATCAAGTTTCGAACGGATGATAAGAAAGAAAAATGCGAGAGACCACGAGCCTCCAATTATGACCACTCAGTTAGTGTGGTCATTATTGCTTTAAGAAAGTGATAGGACTTTGAAAACCTGAATCAACAATCTAGTTATAGAACATAAAAATAAACAAGTAATAATAAACATAAATATGTTTATGCATATGACAGAATCACAATATTAAATGGCAAAAAGGAAAACGATTTTCCTTGGAAGTTTCCATTTTCCTTTCTACATAGGGTGTTGAACTATTATTTTTGTTTGTTTTTATTCATTCATTAAATTTAATTATTCCAATAATAGTCTAGAAAAAAGGAATCACATTCTCAGAAAATAGGTCATACCAAATGGGATTCGAATCCATGACCTTTGAATCAGAAGTCCAACGCGCTATCCATTACACAATGATTTTCATTTCTATATATGCTGTTAGACTATTATTTTTGTTTACTTTTTTTCATTTTTTAATTTCATTAACGAATTAATACTTGAAAAAACTATATTAACATCAAGTGTCGTACACTACAATTTTAAAGAAATGTATTTGAATTTGAGTGGATGAATAAAAAGTATTTTATTAACGATTTAAAATTTGAACAACATATATTATATATACAGAGAGAGTGTGAACTATTAGTAGAAATTGAAAAATGGTAAAAAAAATGACCAACAGCTTCAAGTTTTGTTTCACTCATACTAGCAGCAATCATGTGATGATATTTCTAGTATGAGTGAAATTGGTCAGGAAGTGAGGCATTCATTTCAGCTATTTTTATTTTTCTTCGGTGTTTTCCTGTTGGCAAGCTTATTATATCACCATCAATTATTTTATCAATTCATTTTAAAGACAATTTTACTTTATAAAAGGTCGTTGTATTTTCTTCTATATTTTATAATGTCTTCAGTCCGTTTGATAAACCAAAATTTTAATTTTAACAGACGTTATTTGAATAAATTCAATCAACTAATTTTTATGGCATTTATCAAGGAAGGAATCATTAAGGATGAGAAAAGCGAAAAGCTGCTAGAAGGGAAACAACATATAGTGTTATTTTTAAATGTAAAAAAATTCAAAAGTGCTTAGTACATTGTACTTAAATGAAAAAAAAATAGTTAATGAATACATTTTTGGCGTGAAGCACGGAAAGCGGAGCAGTAGTATGCGGCTTCATTCAAAATGCATTGTTGTTCAATAAGATAATGACTATTCCCTCGCTTTAAATAGCCTAATAGTTATTAACATTTCGATCAAAACTGGAGGCATTTCTCATCTCCGACTTACATTAATATAGTTACTTTACCGAGCCGTTAGAGCTTATCAGTATCGTTTAAAGAAGTGTCAAAACCTTAATCGACAATTTAAATGTCATTGTCATCTTGGATGGGCGTGGAATCATTTTTATAGGGTTTAAAGCTCGCTTATGGGTGCTTATCTTCAATTACTTCTATAATTTCGGGAATCATACGTATTTTGTACCAGTGCTTACTTTATATGTTCCTTTATTGTGCAGAATAACTGGTTTCGTTCTAATAACGAGGAAAAACTCACGCAACAGTGCGTAGTTCTTCATGTTCTGCATTTTTATGTACTGTCATTTTTTTTTAAAAAGCCTTTATCTCAAAATGTTCTCTAATATTAAATTTTAAATTCAATTATTGATGTTTTCTATCAGAATTTTTTAAAAAAATGCATACTTTATTTTTAATATATAAATAAATCAATAATATCATTTCCGCGTATTAATTATATTACCATAAAAATTATTTGAACAACGTTAATAGCAATAGTGCGAGCAATTTAACTTTCAAAACTAACGAATTTGTCTATTTTGGCGCAGACAGTTACTACTGTTTTCAGTCTAAATTTTAAATATTTTGGAAATAAACAAGTTAAACAATTTATTCAAAAATATTTATTTACTATTTAGACTTAAAAAGAGAAACATTTCACATTAAAATATAAACGAGTAACTCCCGTCTATTACGCAAATAAAATAATTTTGAATATCATTATTTCCAAAGCAAGTCTTACACCAGCTTTTCTCAAAATGTGGGGCACGCCCCCTAGGAAGGTGCAATAACCCCACGTAGTACATCGAAAAGTCGGAAAAAAAAAGATTTTAAAACATTATTAATAATAAAAATTAAATACACATTTAAAATGATTAATAACATATAAATGTATCAGTAATGCACAATGTGTATTTGATAATTAATTTAACTATACTTAATTAGGAATAAGTTTAATAATTATCCGTGGCCCCATGGGATTATCTTATATAAAATAACGAACAAATTTTAATACTTATCTTGATGTGTTGTACGGTTATAATGAAAGTTGTATTGTAGCTTTAGCGCGCGTCAAAGTATACGATAATTGAATTCAAAACATTTTTATTGTACGGATGGGGGACGCGATGAAAATTATAATTGTGAAAATTGGGTCGCAAATATTGAAAGTTTGAGAATCGCTGTCTTACCCAAATTTCTTACATTCATGAGCAAACATATCTAGAAGTCTATATAAATAAATAAAATTGAAGTGTCTGTTTGTAATTTCAAATTAGCAGCTTTTTACTAAATGCATTTAAAGGTATATAAGGTATTTAAACCAAAAAATCAATTTTTAAAATTTTTGTCTGTCTGTCTGTTTGTTCCGGCTAATCTCGAAAACGGCTAGTGCGATTTTAAAAATTCTTTCACTAATGGAAAGCTACATTATCAGCGAGTAACATAAGGTACATTTTATCTCCATATTCCTACGGGAACGGAAACTATGCGGGTAAAACCGTGGAACTTTGCTTACTCCCCACCAAGTTGGCGCAAAATTCTGCATTTGGTCAATAATGGAAATTTTAATAATGGAAATTTCTCACATTTATAACACAGTGAATTGAAACACAGTGTAATTTAACATCTTTACAAAAAGCAATTTTTAAATGGTTTTTTACTAAACGTATAACGTTTATTACGTTACAGTTGTTAAAAGTCAAACTCAAGCTTTGAAAAATATCGCCAAGTTGGCTAAGAAGTTCTCTATTCCAACAATCCCAGATATTTTAATGCAAATTTTCTACCACATTTTAAAGAGGGAAACAAAATAAAGTTTTTGCGAATTGCGCACGTGATATTGAAAATTTTATGGTAATATTAATTGACAGCTTCATAAAATTAGGGAGCTTTACGCAATACTTATTTCATCTTCGGTCTTTCTAATCCTCAAACCTTTTGGAAAAAGTACAAAGACTACATGGCGGAAGATATTTTGCAGCAAATACAAGCAAATATGCCTTTCAATCAACACATCTACAACGAAACGCAATAAAGGTTTTCAAAATGGTCGGGAAGAAGCTACATGATTTTGGAATAATTATTCCTAGAAGTGTCGACGGAAATAGCTTCGATAATCAAATTGCTTGAGAATTAAACTACGATTTTATAGCATTGCAACATCAAGTAACAGAATTTATCCCTCAATTAACTCCAGAACAAAGTCACGTTTTCCAACAAGTGTTACGCAAAATAGAATCCGGCAGTGGTGCACTCTTTTTTCTCGACGCCCCTAGATGAACCGGAAAAACGTTTTTGCTTAACTTATTATTAATGACTATCAGAAAAACCCAGAAGATAGCAGTTGCTATGGCTTCTTCTGGTATAGCCGCGATTTTACTGACCAACGGTCGTACTGCCGTTTCCGTTTTAAAATTATTGCTTAATCTTGCATTTGAAGATTCACTCATCTGAAATTTCAGAAAAAATAGCTCTCAAGCAGGATGCTTCCACAATGCAAGCTTTTAGTGTGGGATGACAGAACAATGTCTCAAAAGAAAGCTTTTGAAGCGTTAAATCGGACTCTTCAGAATTTACGAGATAGTACAGATATTATAGGAGGAATGGTACTAATGGATGGGCAAAATTTGAAAAATTAAGTCTGAAAACGAATATGAGAGTGCATCTTCATAATGATGTAGATTTTGAACATTATGCAGAGACGCAATTGAAAATCGGTTATGGATGTTTGGACGCAAATGCTGGAGGTTATATTTTACTTCCAAAGAATTTTGTAATGTAGAAGAAAATGATGTAAATCTTATTGCTCAAATTTACCCGGGCTTGCAACAAAATTCAAATTGGGGTCAGTGATTGCGCGCAAGATCAATATTGGCGCCTAACAATGACATTGTCCATAAAATTAACATTGAAAATTTGAACGACGTGTGGGGAAGGGGGGAAATGAAGAAATACTTATCAACGAATACAATCTTGGATAAAGAACAAAGTACCTAATATCCCACGGAGTTCTAAAATTCACTTGAACTTTCGGGTGTACCCTCACATAAACTTCAATTAAAACTAAATGTACCAGTTATGCAAAATCTCGATGCTCCTGAACTATGTAAAGGAAGGAGGCTTTGGATCACAAAACTGAAGCAGAATATACTTGGTGCCAATATTTTAACATATGTCATGAAAAGGGATAGTGTTATCATACCTCGAATTCCAAGTATCTCCACTGACCTACCGTTTCAACTCAAGCGATTTCAATATCCCCAGTTTTAATGTTGCTATTAATAAAGCTAACATTTTTCAGGTAGCAGGGGTGCATTTGGAAAAGCAATCTTTTTACCATGGCTAACTATATGTAGCCTGATCGGTGTGTCAATGCCCAAATCTTCACATATTTGCAACTGACGGAAGGACGTATAATATACAGTTCTGTTTTGAGCTTTTTTAAAGAGAAATTATATATTAAACGTAGATAATTTCGCTTTCTAAAAATATTAATAGCTTAAGTTATTGAATTTTTGTTGTTAATTATTATAATAAATTACACATTTTCAGTTTTTTTAAAACTAAGATCAATTTTAGAATTTTTAAATTTTATTGGTTCTATTCAAGCAATAAAAAATTACCATATTATATTACTTACTTTTTAATGATAATGATTACGACTTTGACAATTATTTAAAGACATCAACGCGAGTGGAGTCGCGGGTAAAAGCTAGTTTTCAGATATAATTGTTCACTATGACTGAGTAAATTTCGCTACTTGTGCACACAATTAATTAGGCTTCTTTACCTCTTACTTCATATTATCCAATCGCTTTATATTCCACATTTCCGGTATAATACTTGAAATTTGCTTCTTTACAAGGAATTTAATAGGTTATGAATTCCACAATCCCTAGTAATCTAATTAATATTCCGATATAGTTCTGCGACTATAAGAGGGAATATTGATTGGGGGAAATTCAAGTATCCACCAATTAATTCCCCAAATAATTACTCTGTGAAAGTAAAGAGTCGATATTTCTGCTTGTTTTGCTAGCAGTGGGTAAATAACATATTGAATATGGAATGCCTAGTAGGATTTTAACACTCTACTGCTCATTAGTGAACGGGAAACTA